ATGACTGGGCCAAGTTCGATGACGAAGAAGTGGACTGGGCCACGGCCGCGTCAACCGCAACTCCTTCTACTAGCGCCGCTGCGCCGGCTGTGCGTCCTTCTCGCCTTTCTGTCTTCGCTTTGATTGCTTCGTCCTCTTTTGGTCGCTCACATTTCTCTTTGCCGCCAGAGCACGGGCTTGGCTGACTGGGCAAAGTTCGAAGAGGACACCGAGGGCGCGGACAACTGGGCCAAGTTTTAGTGATCTTCTTCGAAGGTGAATGCCCCTTCTTGGTCTAAAGCAAGGTGGAGGTCTCTGCGCCAGACCAGCTCTTGCTTCGCCAGTGGTGCAACTTTTTTGCAGACAACCAATAAGCACCGCCACAACAATCACGGGAAAACACCACTCCCCACACCACCAGGCGACAACAGTTACGGCACCCACTTTCAGTCTCTCTTCCTCCTCCACAACCTCAGCACACCAACTAGAGCACGCACCTGATGTAAGCTACGTGGCGGCCGAGTTTCGACCGACAAGCCTAACCCCCTGCCGCGTCGGCCGGGTGTGGAGCCGAAATTTCGCGTACGCGGAGAGTGAGACGAAAGCAAGAAGAAAAGTCCCGCACGAAACGCCCCCGCAGCCACTACTCGGACTCTTCCGGTTTTATTGCTCTCCGCCCGCACGCTCTGGTGCACCTGCTTACAACAACAGCTCCTGCAGAAGATCTCTCAATCTTCTTCATCTCCATCTCCACATTACCACACTCCAGCCTTTTTTTTCTGGTTGGGACATGGCGCAGCAAGGGCTGGGAGAGAAAGTATGGTCGGCGCTCGAGCTCGAGTGGCTGCCGGCCTACCACGACTGGCGGTCGGCCCACCTGTGGATGGGGAAGCACTACGAGGTGCCGGTGGCGCTGTGCGTGCTCTACGTCATCGTCATCTTCGGCGGTAAGCGATTGATGAGAGATCGGAAGGCGTTCGATTTGCAGCAGCCGCTCTTCTTCTGGAACGTCTTCCTCGCGACCTTCTCGGCGATCGGCGCTCTGTGCACGGT